TTCTAGTTAAAATATGTTAACTTTCCAATCTTATATTATATGTTTATTTTATTCATATAGTACATCTATTATAATATAAACTATAATTATGAAATTTATAAAATGCATATAATTTTTTATAATAAAGTTTTAGTTTATACTATGTATATTAGTATTATATTATTAATTACGAATGATTTATTGAATTATCTTAAAAAGATGTATAAAATTCTTAGTGAGATTTTGTTATATTTCTCGACAGAAATTTTTATAACTAAAAATAAAATGTAGATATATTACTCTTCAACATGTTTTGTTATATATTTGATTGATTACTGTAATAACAAAAATTTCATAGTAATTAATTAATCAAATGGTCCTACCAAGACTAGTATATAATAGATTAAAAGTAGGATTCTATTTTAATAGAGTAGAAGTAAAAAAAAAAATTGAAAGAAGATTATAGCACCCGTGTTTTCTAAAGCACTATTTTATTTACTGTAGAAAAAATTGTTGTAGGAATATCTTTTCATTTTTGGTATTTTTCTCATTTAGTTCTTACAACTACATTTGCTACAACTACATCAAAAAAAGTGCTATAGAAAAAAATTCTTCAATATTTTTTTTTACAACTACATCTTAATCAATAACCCCCATATTAAATCATTATTCTACCTTTCCTTTTTTTAACAATCATTACTCTACTCCTATAAGATATACTAAGGAAATTCTACAATATTTTTTCTTTTATCTTTACTTTATATTTAAAATTTCAGGTACATAACTTTTCTTTATGATATGACCAGGTTGATATATTTGTAATTAAAATAAAAATCAAACAATTGTTAAAATAAAGTTGTAATAAGTATTGGATGATTTCTATATCTTCGAAAATTTGGACGAAGATATTGTAATTTATCATATTAGTTACAATCATTAAAATTCTTTTTAATAAGAAGCAGATTATATGTTTACTTTTCATTAAAGAAAATTTTGGGTCGAAATCATTTTTTTTGTCAGAGGAAAAAATTCAGTTGTAAATCGAGAATTCCATCGGTAATTCCTTATTTTCGTGATGATAAAAAAAGAAAAAGAAATGATACTGTTGTTTAAACTTATCTGCGGAGACGTTTGCGCTAAAAAGTATACATCGTATATCTGTTTGTAAAAATAAAAAGAGAACTAAACTAGTGAGCCATGCCCTTATACAGAAAAAATCTAAATAGTGAGCCATGTAAGAACTTGTACCAGACCTAGGGTGGGCTAAGATGGGGGACAAACAGTGCGACTGTTCCGGATTCAAATCTGTATCCCCTCGTATCTTACTAACTAAGAGATCTAATACTTTTATATTTACGTATCAATACCTTTAGATAGTGACATTTTATATCATCAATTAGTAAGATACAGGGGGATACGGACCTGGACCCAAGTCCGTATCTTACTAATTAAGAGGTCTAATACTTATGTCAATTTGAGGTTTTAATTTTTTAAAGTTATATTAGAGAGTGACATTTTATATCATCAAAACAAAAGATTATGTAGATAAAATAACAAAAATGATATCAACGCTTTTTAAGCGCGGATCAAAAATCTAGTCAATTTTATTAAAACAAGACCATTCTATTATTTAGCTTTCGTATACCCTGGAATATTATTTTTGTGCCACTGGACTACCTTTAAAAAAGCCAACTATTTTTACATATTCTTACCTATTATGAGTATTGATACATGTTATAGCCTTTCCTTATTCCTAGATTTTAGGGATCTATCACTCTCATTTTTTTTTATCTTACAACTACTCTCATTTGTATACAAATTAAGATAGACAGTTGCATAATATATTTATATTTGGTCTAACTATTTATTATTCATTTATTTTTTATATCAGTAATACCAACCTTTTTAATATTATTCATAGATGATTAAATATAAATATAATTTTAAAAAAATTAAAACATTAAATTTTTAAAAAAATTTAAAACAAAAATATATCCGCCCTCTGAAAGGCATGTCAAAATTTAGCAGTTATATAAAAATTTTAAAATATTTATTAAATTTGGTTGAAAAGAGGTCCTAAAATATTTTATATATACATAGTTTATTTTTACCACAAATTTTGTAAAGATATTGATGATAAAAAAAGTTAAAACATATTTAAATTTTCACGAAAAATAAATAATAAAAACTTAATATTTTTGTTTTATTCTGGGTCCGAAAAAATGTTGAGCCTACCCTGACCAAACGGACAAATGGAAATGACCGACAAAAATGCGGACGAATTTATATTATCAGGCTAGTTAGACGCGAAGAAATAAATGCAGAGCTCACGTAAAAATGACAGTGCATGATTGTTACTATGTAATGCGTTATTCAACATGATTACAAGATTTTTTATATAGGTACAACAATAAAGAATGCGACTGGGAAATATCAGTAGGCCTAAACGTTTTTAATTCAACCCGAAGTATCGATCTTAACCCGAATCGAAAAAATCAAAATACTGAATCCGAACTGTTTTATAAAAATATCCGAACGGGACTTATAAGCTTACTAATTTGGACTTTGGTTATAACCTGGACCGAACCGAAACTGAATTAGGATGCAAAGATATCTGAAACTAGTTAAATATGTTAATGTATATTATATATGTTAAGGTGATTTAGATATTTTAGAATATTCAAAATATTTTTGTAGTTTGTTTTATTTGTTATTTTGAGTACTTTTTAGTTAAATTAGATAATTTAACTAATTTTTAATTAGATTTTTAAACAATATATATTTTTGAAAAAAAATTGCTAATTTTTGCAGTTTAAAAAAATTTATTTTTGCACGATTTTAAACATTGCTTAGATCCAAACCCGATCCGATAATTAGTAAAAAGTGAATGATACTTATGAACATAACACCGAAAATCCAAAAAATCCAAATCACCCAGACTGATACTGAATGGGAACCGAACACCCAGGCCTAATCATCGATAGAAATACCAATTATATGTTTTAGTCAAACAAAAAGAATTATCTATTATATTAAAAGAGAAGTCACAACTTCTCTCCATGTGTGATTTTATTTAAAATGGACTCTTCCTTAAAAAAGTTGTAACCTTATCTTTTGTATTTGTATAATAAAATCTTAACAACCATATTTAATTTCCATTTTCATTCTCTTAATACATAAGAACATCTTAAAACTAACAATACATTTATATAAACATTTAAATATATGTTCAACGTTAAAAATATATATTCATAAAATAAATAACATATGTATATAAAATTGAAAGTAATACCNTATAATAAAATCTTAACAACCATATTTAATTTCCATTTTCATTCTCTTAATACATAAGAACATCTTAAAACTAACAATACATTTATATAAACATTTAAATATATGTTCAACGTTAAAAATATATATTCATAAAATAAATAACATATGTATATAAAATTGAAAGTAATACCCGCGCGGTTGCGCGGGTAAAGATCTAGTATGTTGTTGAGAATGTTAATTTGGTCTTGAATGACCTCTGCACAAACAAGGACAATATAGTATGTGGACGGACCTCACTTACCTTTTCTTATTCCTTGAATGAATATCTCCCTTCTCTTCTAAATGACCCTCGATAACCGCTAAACAAGATTATTTTCCATATCGTATGTTGTTTTCTATTTTGGAATGTGAAACAATAAAACTACGAAGTTTTTCCTGAAATGTTTTGGTCCCCACCTGACCTATCTACCAGTTTTTTTTTTTCTAAAAAGATTTCTCTTTAAAACTAAAATTAGATTTTTGATCTTATTTTAAAAAGCGCGGATATTATTTTTGTTGTTTTATCTATAGATAAATCGATAAATTTTTGTTTTGAAGATATAAATATCACATAATCAAGATCAAGTTATTAAGCTGGTATGAATAATTTTTTTTATTTTATAATGTCTCAGACAATTATTTTATGTTTCTAAATAAGTTAACAATAGTTGTACCTCAAATGTGTACTTGAGAAAGATTGTATATTTAACAATTAAATGGTCCAATTTTTTTTAGTTTTGTGATTAATTCGTAAAATCATTTAGTTACAAAATTTCAATCGCTCAGTCTGACCCGCCCCGTCCAACATGCCCCGTCTAACCCACCCCGTCCAACCTGCCCCGTCTAACCCACCCCGTCCAATCCGCTTGGTAGCGGGTTGAATCATTTTTCCGACTGGAAAATTTTGACCCGTCAGACCCGAGAAAAAAAGAAAATTTCTTGCAAGAAATTTTTTTATAAGATTAAGGGTAATTTAGAAAAACATAAATCAAAATTGTTTTATAAAATTTGAAAGAGAATCAGTCCATTAATGAAATCCATTAGTATATAGTTTTTAGACCCAAATAAAAAAGACTAAAATACTACTAATAAAAAATTAATTTTATTCATAAAATTAAGGGTAATTTAGAAAAACATAAATCGTTCATTTAAAGAAATGATCATGTTTTCATGGTATTGATTAAACTTACAAGTCGTGATCCATGGATCAAACAATGATTACAACACTTCAGAAAGATAGCAACGTGAAGCACTTAAGCCACGAACAAGCATAAAGATAAGAGGAAGACACAAGACAGCCATCTAGATAAGAAAATCATAAACAGTAGTTAGAGGGAAATTAGAATGGAAAATGACAGAACAGAATCTTGTTGAACAAGGAAAAGACACAGCGACTGATGACTATTACCTCTTCCAATGGTATTAGTATTCTTATGCTCCACGACCTCAGCATTATAGTATACCTCTGTCCGAAATCACCTTCTTTTTAATCTCCTTTTCTCAGACCAGATCAGAATACCAAGTACAAAACCCCAACTTGAAACTGAGGATTAGAACAATGACACTAAAAACAATCGGCTAAAGTCACTAAAAGCAAAGCTATCAAAAACAATCGACTAAAGTCCGTGGAGTAAATCAAGCCAGTTGAAAATCCTTGTTTAACAAAAGATAAGTCCATTTTGATCTTCTAAACAATTTCTTTGGATCTGCTTTTGTAAACGCTATTATTAATATATGATTATTACATTTCAGCAAAAAGGAAAAGAGTAAACAAAACTAAAACATAATTGGAAATTATGAAGAGGATGTATTCATCACCACCATAAAAGTTCTTTAACTCCTAAGAAACGGATATAGCTCATATCTGATATTACAGTTCATACCCAAAACTCTTCCTCCTTGTTTAATATCACCGTTCTTGAAAAGCTTATTGATACTCCATGCCAAGCAACTTTCACAATCTAATGTTGATCCTATACACTGCACCATTGCATACAATGTATTTTTCCCGAGCTTCTTCTCCCCTGCTGAGTAAAGTATGACTTCGTGGCCCCACTTGAGGCGTAGATAGACTTTAAGTGTTAGCTCAGAAAAAAAATCTACCACCCTCTTGGCGAACAATTTTGCATCCCCTCTCACGTTATTTGGGTTTTTCATAGAAAATGTATTCTTATAATCAGTTTTGAATTGTCCATCAGTTTCATTAATCGCACTAACCCAGAGAAAACATAGGTTATACCATATTATACCTCCTTTGTTCATCGGACATCTTTTACGAAACTGCAATACAAAATCGTATCTGTTTTGTATCATTTTAAATATAATGATGAATTAATATTTCAGTGAAAGTTTTATTCTCCTANTTCTCCTAATTATTTGTATAGTAAGTTATTATTCTGATGATTAGAAAAAATGTTTAAAGTTAAGGATTTAAAGAAACCACATGTATAAATAGTTTGTAACCTTTATTAGTTGCATTTAACTAAAAAGCATCGTCAATATAATTTGGTCTGTACAAAACATTTATAATAAATTGTGATGTCTAAATAAATAACCAGGGTTGAGAGGAGGGGTCGGGATATCGGGAAATTTCAGGATATCTAGATCCGTTAGATCCAAGTTATGACTACCCATATTTAGATTCATGATTTTTGGGTATCTAGTTATTAGATAGTTATCTAAAATGAAATAAGTATTCTAAGATTAACTATAATATTTCATAATATAAACTAAATACTAAGAAAAAAATTAAAAAAATTAAATGTATAAATTTAGTTTATCATTTATAAATTATTAAGAAAATATGTTAAATATATTTACGGAAACCAAAGATCCGTTTTTTACTGATCTGAGATACTATCACACGAATAGAATTTTAGGAATATCTGGATATTCTGATCAAACCGAATCTCATTTATGATCCAGATCTTTGATAGTTGTCCATCCTTATCTAAGTATCTATAACAAATGACAAACTTTTTCAGCTGATATTTTTTCTAGTTAACTCTAGTTTTATTTTTGTTTCATATAGTCATTTCTCTTTTGGCGATAAGGTTTTACAACACCTGCAAATCATATCTAAACCAGGTCTTTTATATGGATAACAAATGTCAACTTTTCCAGTTGATATTTTTTTTCTAGTTAACCCTAATCTTATTTTTGTTTCATGTAGTCTTTTCTCTTTTTTTCTTTCTCAAAGATCAAAGTTTTAAACCATTTCAAAAACATAATTTTTATATTTAAATGTAGGATGACTCATTTACCCCTGCGACTGCTGCGTCACCACATGAATTGCATTTAGACCCACGAGTGTCACCACGACACTGGAACAGAACGTTAGCAGTATCCGGAGCTTCACCCATATTCATATTCAGGTAACCACCCATGGTAGAACTTCCAGTACGAACCTCACGTAAGCAAATGTTGAGGTTGTCCTTGTACTTACTTCTAGAGTTATAAATTCCTTGATTAAGGAAGCATTTGTGGTTAAGATAATCATTGGTAAGGTTCAATGACGAAACACCATGTATGAGGAATTGCATGGCCAAAATAGGGAAAACAAATTGTTTGGATAGAGAATATGGAAATTTCATCGTTTTAGATTTTTATAGTTTTTCAGTAAAAATGTGATTTTGATAATTGATGTGTTGAGAATGACAATTTTATATACGAGATTCAAAAAGATTTATATGATTAACTCATTGTATATAAGAGAGAATTGTTTGCATATTTTTGCGGCAGAAACAGAGGGACAAAGAAAAAGTCCAAATGCAACATGTTTTACCAAGTTTAAACTCCTAGAAATAAAATCAAACTCATATTAGAGTTTTCGTGCACCAAAAAGCTCAAGCTTTCGAAGATTGATGGCTAACTTAGGGTTTTGGTTTCTTGTATGAACTAAAGGATTCATATATATGTTTGGAGATTCTAATTCAATAAGATCTTTGACTTACCTTATATACAGTAGTCTATATATTTTTTTCAATTTTTGCAATTTTGCTAATCAATTTTGGATTATATTGTTTATTCTTCCTATAAACACTTCTTAACATAAGAAAAAAAAGGGCGAACAATTGAACATAGTTTTGTTTTTGTTTTCCAAATTGAATTCGTTAGCAAAATACAACGGTCTTATGGACTTTTCATTTGAGATGATAAATCTGAGTATCTGTAACAAAATTGCAAAAAAAGAAAAATGTGAATCTTTATTAAACAGATAGAACTATAGGTTAATTTTTAAAAGATATGAGGCCAATTAATATACCTGACATGGTTAGAGATATCCAAATTGGGAGTTCCATCAAAGATAACGATGCAATCGTCACCGGCTGCGGTAGTGTCATAGTGACGTCACGGATATGCATATCTTGGATTACATAAGTTATATCTACCGATCTTGATTACGTTGGGGTTAGGGATCGACCGAGAAGAAGTTGCAGTGTCACCCATTTTGCTGTTGTCTACGAGTGTCAAACGAACGCAAACCCAATGTCCATTGGCTCTGTCGTGCGGGGGTCTCAAAGACGTGGTGTCGATCTTCATTTTTCTTCAATGAAACACGTGGGCGTTAACTTAAACTATCTCTAGTGATAGGTTCTAAGAGCATTAATATCGCTTAACAACCCTTAAGGTTGCTTATTATTATTTATTTTTTTTAACTTTTTCATTTTATTGAATTTATAAAAAGAAAGAAAATTAAAACGGATCAATCGTGGGCCGCCACGTGTTAGTGGAGCTCGCGTTTTGGCCAAACAACGTTGCTTATTGTAGCGATAGAAGCAGCATGGTTACTGATAATGTTGGGACCCGCCGTTTTTATTGTTTTTGTTTGTTGAAACCGAGGGTAACAACTCTGGTTAATACTGCTCTAATGAAAATATAAAAATCCGTCTGTTAACTTTTAATTAAAAAAATTTAAAAACCAGTTCTTAAATAAGACATTTAAGAATTCCGTCTTAAGAATCTCTATTGGAGGTGCTCTTAGATTTTTTGTTGTTCTCAAAATCTCCTCCTTCACACTTGTAATGAGTCGATGACATGTTCTGGACTTCGATCATCCCAGTTATAGTGAAAGCTTTATTTTCCTAATTATTTGTATAGGAAACAATTATTTTGATGATTTGGAGAATGTAGAAAATTAAGAGAAACATCACATGTATAAATACTTCTCAACCTTTAAAAACATAGTTGCTTTTAATAAAAAAATCTTCACTATAGTTTGGTTTATACACAATTAGGGTCAGCTTGCGCGTCTTACGGGCGGGATTTAATGGATAAGTTTTATAAAAGATATAATTTTTGTGTAAATTTTCTTTTATTTTAATTTGGATGTAAGTATGATTATGTTGTCTACACCAAATTTCAATTATATAACTAAAAATGATCGGATCCTAAGTATAACTAAAAACGATCGGATCCTACGTATCTTGGCTGTTTTAATCCCGAATTGTAAGCTTTTATAGTGTTTTCAGTTTTATAACATTATAAACACACATAAATCAATCAGATTCAATCAAAAGCGAGAAAAATATTTCAATAAAATTAAAAGGGTCAGATAATTGATAATTATTTTCAATTGTGATGTTTTTGTAAGAGAGAAAAAGAAAAGATAAAATTCGTATTTTAAGAATTTAAAATGGTCATAGATTATGAAATTGTATAATGTAGTAATAAAAAGAACAAGTTAGAAGGAAAAAAATATGCATTGAGCTATTTCGGTATTTAAAACACCTCTTGAAATTTAAAATAACTGCCAACAAAATTACATGAAATGTAGAAAATAATAATCTTAAAACAAACAAATGCAAAAATATAATGAAAAAATATTATGGGATGAGGACCAAATAATTGTTTAATAAGAAAAAGAGAGAAAAACAATGCAGACATTAGGCATCCACTCGTGCCTTCCGTGTGTTATATTTAAAAAAATGTTAAACCATTCCCAGGAGAGAGAATGTGAAAGTCTCGATGGCCACGCATTGTGATAATCTGAATGTAGACGGATCCAAACTCATGTCTTGTAGGATCCATGGAACGCTATACTACCACCCAACCACAGACACGTGGTTAAATTATGCAGACACTAGCCACTAAAACTATGCAGACATTAGCCATCCACTCCTATCTTTCGTGTTTTCACATCCAAACATTTTTAAATGTTTTGGTTCTTTTTTTTCCATTTTGTATATGTTCTTTTTTCTGGTTCGTTTTTTTCATTTTGTATATGTGAGTAGTTTTGGAGATGTATGCGGATGAGCCACGGTCTGAGGTTGAGTTTGGTGATCTTGCGACTGTTTTGTTGAGTGGAGAAGCGCTTGAGATTCCAGAGTGTGCGCCGTCCGATGCAAGGGATTTTCTAGAAACGTGTTTTGCAGGAAATCCTGAGAGTAGAGGAAGTGCTTTGGATTTGCTATTGCATTGCTTCTTGTGTGAAGATGACATTATTGCATATATGCATAATGTTTATTAATGCATAAACTAAACCACAAAGGCTATACTGTACTTTTATTGATTTTTAGCATCTTCTATTCTAAACCAATTTTAACGTTTTATAACATGTAAATTCTGATTAGGTATTTACTTGGAGTAACATATCAATTTAATATAAACACAAATGTATAGAAACTTATCCAGACCTAAATTGATCGACTAATGAATCCTTCTACGGTTGTGTATATTGTATTCTTGAGATGTTTTCCTCATGTTTAGAATCGCATTGGTATGTAAAACGTTATTTCAGTCAAGAATCAAGCGACAACAATTCAAACTTAACTAAAGAAATAGACTGTTATTCAGTAATATATTGATGATAGGACAAAAAAGATTTCAAGAGAAAAAAGCAGAGTAAAAGATTAGAAACTTTCTCTCCAAGAAATCCATCTCCTTTTCCTTCTTTATCAGCGAGAGTGTCTAACACATTCTCAGCTCTTGCGCCAATCTCGTTTTCTCCAGCAACACCTAAGGCATGAAGTAATGGTATAATCCCTCCCTCGTCTATGCATGTCTGGGTTGGCAAATGTCCCATCGACAATGCTCTTAGCATTGGCAAAATAAGAGGCACCGAAGGGAGTTTAAGAGCTGCAAGCCATTCTGGGCTAGATTTGTATCCATCCTGTCTTGTGACATAATATTTCTTGGATGTGTTTGACAACAGCAGCTATGACTTTCTCCAAAACAATGTCTTTTAACTTCTCTCCACATGAACTTGTCTTGGGAGATTCTGACACTCTTACAGAATTCTCAATAGTAAATCTTGCTTCACCGCTTCCTGACTAATGCCCTCATCCTTGTGATTCTCCTCATGGCGTTGCTCAAATTGATCAAATTCGGCCCAGTTTTGCAGACCAGGAAGACACCAGTGGCTACAATCATTACCAAGATTGCTCCTACTGTAAGCAGGAGTATGAGCATCTTTACTGATCTGTTATGTCGAGCCGATAGACCAGTTTCTTCAATCACCTCATCACTGTTTAAAATCACCCAAGCCACAGGTGACCCTCCTGAATATTTCCTCCCGTAGAATGAATGTGTGTGACTCTTACATGACTTCATTAGCTCTCCCCAACCCCTTCCACTGCAAACAAAACATCGTCTATATAATGTTAGAGAATGGCATAACCATAATCACCTAGAAAATAATGTACAATATCAAAATAATAGTCATGGCCGGTTTTGAGCACAGCCGGTTAAAACATATTTCTCAATCCCTAAAATTTAAAGAGCTATTATACATAGATCACATGGTCTTTACAATTATCCATTTCTTGTATTAAGACTAACATTAAAATGTTTATGGTTCCCTAATAGCTATGCTATGCCTAGAAGATGATTAACCAGTAACATCAACTACCCACTGATACGGGCTTCTTTGCTTGTTTACTTACTCGTAATGAACAGAAGAAACGACAATGAAAAAAACATTGGTCTTAGGTGGATTGACAAATGCATTAACCCATCGAGCCCAGGTTGTCATCCCTTTGTAATAAGCGACCAGACTGTTCATATCTTTGTACAATATGTTCCCATCTTCCATGTAGTCCCACCTGGGCCACACAAACACACGTAGACATATCATCAAATGAGTCAAAATTCAAAAAGGAAGCAAACAAAAGTGAAAGAAAACGTACGGCTGGATGTGACCAATATGGATCGACCAATGCCAGCCGTTGAAAATCAAGACGTCCATGCCTCTCCACATTTCGCCTTGTTTAGGTACCTCAATAGTTCTGTTGTAGAAGACACTCTGGCATGGCTTCCCTTCCACACCGGAGATGACATAACACACCAGATTAAATACTCCAGGCTCTGCAACTGGGAGGAGTTTGATAAACTCTGGTATGGCTACGCTTTCCATTTTTCCATTTTTTTTTTTTGTATATCACTCTCTCCTGCCCAACCATAAAACATATCACTCAACCTGAACAACATTAAAAAGCTGAACTTTACAACACATCGAAAGATCACTGCTTCTCTACACAGTTAAAGAAAAAAAGATGGATAAAACAGCAAACTTTACAATTTAAAACCAAGTTTGTCTCCTAAA